CGCTGATAAGTGCTACGGTGTCTTGTTTAGGAACAAGAACAGTACTATTAATTGCGTCAGTACAGAGCAGGCCCTAGACTTTGTTGAAGGCCAGGCGCCAAAATAGAGATGACAGACGATGATTCTGCGTGTGGGTGTGTGAAACATATTTGTTTAGGGTGGCGGAGTTGCGATGGCGGTGTTACCCTTTGTTGTATCATGTTATAAAGGCGTGGTTAAGTGATGGAGGCAGGCAAGTTTAGTCGCTTCGCTTCATGACTGCACATAGCTTATGTCGTCATTGACGTTTTATGAGACCGTGTCACCAACTACATACCTACATAGCTTTCCTTTGGTGATTCATTGAACCCCATGCAACATAATGCTTTGTTATCTCCCTTTGATATCCGTTGCTGTTCACTCTGTAACAAATAATTATAATAAAGATAGCAGTTTCAAACTGGGCCCTAAACAAGGAGTCGGTCTTGTCAGTATCTGATTCGAACTATAAATTCTTATCGTCTTGTCGACCACTTCCCACGGCATTATCGTTGCCCAGGTGCCCAAGGCTTAAGTTTTCAAGACCAGGTAACCTTCCCGCACATTATTTAACCATATTTCAGATAAAATTGCAAACCCGGATTGTCTCCTTCCCTTAAATTCTCACACCCACGTCCCAACAGATATATACATCCATTCCCCCAACGAGCCTCGTTAACACAGCACGAACCATGCCCCGCGACGATAATACCATATTTTCGATCAAGGCCATCATGGCTTCTCTACCCCCAACGGAGGCGCAAAACCCAATATCCGCGTCCCAGGCAGAAACAGATGCTCACAACGCATCCATCCTTAATGGTAAGTAATTCCTTGAACCTTCTCTTATTTTATTTATTTATTTGTAACGTTCAGAGCACCATGTCTCCTTTTTAGACTGAGACAGTGTCTCAGGATGCCAAAACCCTCATAACCCATGCCCGAAATGGCGATAACTGACTCCGAGTATTATAGTACGCGGCCTTCGCACAACAGCCACAGGCAACGAGCTCTTCGACCTCGCCGATTTGGCGCTCCGCAACTCCAAGATTCCCACCACGTCAGAGCATACCGCTGACGCCGACGCCGCTACTACTTCCGCCGTCGCCAGCGAGACTCTACCTACAGTGACGACTTTCGAGCCGTTCTATTTCTTCTTCTACGGCTCGTTGCAGGTTCCCAACGTATTACAGGGCGTGTGCCGGATCAAGGACAAGAACAGCATCACGCTACGCAAGAACGCAAACATCGTAGGTTGGAAAATCAAGATGTGGGGCCCATACCCGGCTCTGGTTCCCGCAGCGCCCGACGACGAGGACGGACATGTCGAAGGGGTGGCGTGGTTGTGTGAGAGGCCGGAGTACGTCGCAAGACTCTGTACCTATGAGTCGAAGGCCTACCGCATGGCGTACTGCAACGTCTTGGTCGCCGCCGGCGACAAGTCTCCAAAGCTCATCAAGAACGCACGCACGTTCGTGTTTGACCAAGACCAGGGTGATACACTGACGGATGGTCGTTTTGACATTGAACAGTATTGCAAGGATATATTGGGCCCCTGGTAGGCACATAGTGTTTTATTCGGCTGCTCGACATAGGCCTTCCATCCAAGGGGATATTAGACTAATAGATACAGACGGTTAAGCCGTTTAACTTGGAGCAAGCTGGAGCAACAGATCATGATTTCTTTTCCAGGAAACATGTATGTATATAATAATTGACGCCTTGGATTTCCTTCTTTTTCTAAGTTCGTGAGCCCATACGGCTATCCACTGAGTCCTGATAGTGAATTCTGCATACAGCCGAGATATGGCCGTATTTGGCCACTTTCTATTGTATGATGTACCAATGAACTATTATCTATCCTTGTCCCCAGCAAAAAAATCCTGTTGGGATGAGTAAACTTAATTTATTTAGCAAATGTGAGTCTATATTCTAACGCCGTGTATTAGCGAATAATAAAACAAGAAACGAATGTATAACCAGTAACTCCTTATCCTCTTGTTCCACCAGTCGACTAATCCCTTCTTCTAAGACTCCTGTTGCACAGTATCCAACAGGGTGTCCCCTAGCCGTGCTCTTTGATTTTTTTGGGGGGGCGATGTGGGCTCGTCCACACATTTAAGCCAGTAGCATTTAGTTGGTTGCTATAATTCGCGGAACTCCTGGAAAGAAATTATTAGGAACCGTAAAAGTCCACAGGGGAATTCATTATAATTTGTCGAACTCACGAGGACGAATATTGAAGCAACCGCCGAATTTGACATACTGATAATATAACCAGCCGTCTCATGAACAAATCCAATGTTAGCTACAATAACATGATTAGCATTTACGAAAGATTTAGTGGCCATAATGGGGAAACTCACGACGAGCTTGTTGTTGGCGGTGGTGGTGCTGGCGGTGATGGTCCCGGAGCTGGGGATGACTCGCTCTTGACAGTCGAAGATCCAGACGCAGAGCTCCCTTGGCCCTGGGTACTGCCGCCGCCATCGATAGCAACTGACACTGCTGCTAGAATCACAACCATTGTGTTGGAATATGTATGGTTTTATAATGGTTTTGTTAGAGTCAGAAAGAAGACTAAAGCACCAAAGGACTTGAATCGTTGCGAATTAGACGTGATCGATGACACGAACATGAAGCTTTCTGGGCTCGCCTCGTCCTTTATATAAACATTGATGAATCTAATTCTCGTTCTGACGACCCCATGGCTATGTAGCTCATCTCGATAAAATTAGGCTGAGATAGTCCTGTGGCCAGATCGATAGTAACGGCGACGAAACCCGGTAGTCCTGTGCTCGGTGATACCTTTCCTTAAGCGGCACCACAATGCGCTCACGTACAGGTCTACACTGGCACCAAAACACACCCTTGACAAGCTATGGTGATGATATCATTTCCTATCACTCCCTATCATTTATTCCTATGAATCCTATACTAAGGTTAGGTGTCAATCAAGTGACCCCGATTATGGAGGGAGGGGCTCGTACTATTACGGCACAGTCCTTCCTACACACGCCCGCAGCCAGGGTGCTTACGAACTGGCAAATCGAATGTATTTCCGACCTTCCGTACGGGCACGGACGGACCGATCAGGCTCAGGCTCGGTTTTATTCCAACGTCCACCCTCAAGGCTGACTCCCGCCTTCAACGAAGCGAACTGACGATCCGGGCGTCGAGCCGAGGGCTGAGCACGATTGGTACTAAGCTGGTTTGGGCAATGCCAAGTAGAAACGCCCTTACATAACCTTCTGGGTCTGCTGCGCTCACGCTTCCATTCTGGGACTATTTCCTATTCAAGCGAATCGCTGTATCCTTGTATCCCAATTCTTTCTTAGCTCGCCCCGAAACGCCTCCCAGGTCCTTTAGGTTCTAGTTGGAATACCTTGGCATCACTGGGCGGAGGCAGGCCAGCTGCCTCACTAGGTATTATCAGCTGCCTCACTAATATCAGTATATATGGAACCAGACTTGAATTTCCCCAGGACAAGCACTTTTATACGGCGTATTTCAAGCTCCCTCCCACGCCTATACCTATACGTTATCACGTTAACGGGGCTGTATTGTTGCATTCTTTCGGCCTGGTACGCCACGAGCAGTCATCGTGTCGCATCTTATTGGACAATTGATTGCGCAATTTGGCAACAGGGAAACTTTATCCCAACGACCAGAGTCAGGCGGTGCTTGATACCCAACTTCCAAATACCCAGTAGGTATGTCCTTCGCAGAGGCGCAGTATCTCAATATTGCAGCTTCGCGATACAGAAAGTAGCATTTGCTCATTCGGCCTAATTAGTCGATGGTTATAATTGTTCGTGACACGGACTGGCCAGGTGATGAGTCATGATACCGACCCACGGGTAGATGGATGATACTGCGGATTGAGGCGGCTGACTTAGCTTCGGAAGTTGTAAGTTCTATAAAGAATGTCAGTGATTACCCAAGGCGCAGGTAAAGGATGGATTTCGCGTTCCAATTGCAAGTTATCCATAACTAGATTACCTGGGTATCATATCCAGTACATCGTCAACTAGTTAGTTCGCCTTTTATCATGACTTCAAATCTATTATGTAAGACTATTCTTGCTAATCAATTAGCACATGAAAGTGTTCTTAGGACCTGTATATAGCAACCAATGCGACGAATTCTGTATATATGCTATTATTTCTCCTAGAGTGAGCCATTGACTCCTTCAATATCCTTAGATATATTCTTTGGATGCACCAAGCCACCGCAATATTGTTCTTGAACTTAGGCATCATCGACATGAGACATGACAGCCACTCCAGCCGCATTTCACTATCTAGGATGATAGTGTATCTTCCTTTCAATGCTTAGGGCCCTTAATTACGGCGGAGCACCTCAAAGTCGCGTGAGCGCAGACGCAGATCGGTAGAGTTGCAAACCACCGTCTTTGTAGACTATCATGGTGAGAATGAGCTTACTTCCATCATCCCACAATGTCTTGAACTTCACAGAGCTATCCTCCAGAGGTCACCGGGGACTGGGTAAGTTGTAATGATGACAGCTAACACGATATGAAAACTCGCTGCCTGATTATTTGGTACGGACTAATGATAGAGCATAGATGTACTCCGTCTTATATCGGAACTCCATTTTCTCATCTTGAACCAATGTTGCTTACATATCCTTTAGCTGTCTTCCAATCATATGCCCATCGCATTCGCCTATCGGCCAGAATAAAATATTAGGGTCCAATGGATGCGTGGCAAACGCCTTTATTCCTATTCGTAGTGAGACATTATATTTTTAGCAACTACCCAAATATGATTCACGGTGACACTTGGTGCCTACTTTGTGGCGCAATACTTTAGTGTAACTCTCATACACTCCGACTGTGAAAACCAGTGGCGATAAAAAAAGGTAGAGAAATAAAAAGAGAGAGGGGGGAATCAAGAAGCCCAACAAGCCCCAAAAAGTTGGTTGTTACTCCCAGTTAATCTGAGAGGCATCAGGAATTGAGCCCGATGCGGGGGTCGAACCTGTTAAGGTTAGTATTTTTTAGGTTTATTGGACTGTTTTTGACTCACCCGCAACCTTGAGATTAAGAGTCTCACGCTCTACCGATTGAGCTAACCGGGCACGGATTAAGCTAGCAAGGCAGCTACGCCCCAGCTTGAGCTTGTTGTAAGGAGTTTCTCCGGCGGCTACTTATAGCTACATGAGCGGCTTGTGTGAGGCAGATACCTACCTATGTACCACTGCTTGTTGGGACCGAGGCACAACAGATACCTGTGCTACATACCCACCATGTACGGAACATCTTGCCGCGCTCGACCACTGCACTGCATTAATTACTCCTTTTAAGTCCTACAACAATAATATGTACCAGTTAAATCAACTGTTAAACAATATCCAATCTCCTCTCTGTTCAATGGAGTGTAGAGAATTATAATTGTTCTCTTCACATGCTTTGTCAGTATGCATGCATCAAGTAGCGATAACAGACACGGCCCCCAAACGAGGGGTTATAGTGGGGTTGGTTAGATACCTAGGTACCTAAGTTCCTTGATCGGATTAGGTAGGCTAAGGTACCTACCTAGTAGGCACTTGCTGTATCCAGATCAGGAACTGTATTCAGACATTTCTTGTCAAACACCCCGCAGTCGTCATTCATCTAGAATATACCAGAATACAACCAATTTCTTTACATCTTCTTTAAGGCACCACTCAAGTGCCAGCCAGCCAGCTTGCGAAACCTGTCTGGAAATTGATGCTGCTTCCTAGCCAGTACTTTCATCACGACTGCTCAGTATAAGCCAAAATGCCTGTAGACTACAGCAAGTGGGTGAGTGCCCCATGCGCCTTGCCTATCCGTGCCGACTTGGAAGAGCTATGGCAAAGTGCTTACCATGATGCTTCTCGGAACAGGACAATCTGGAGCTCAGCGATGACTCCGACATCGAGGTTCACCCGAACGTCGATAAACGGTCCTTCATCCGCGCCAAGCAGAACCAGATCCACGCCGAGCGCCAACAGCGCCGACTGCAGATCGAGACCCTCAAGTACGAGCGCCAGATCAACGATGGTCTGATGAAGCGCATATCTGGGCTTTTAGCAGCTCTCGAAGCCAATGCTGCTGAGGCTGAATCCAACCTCGCTGAGATAGCTTTCCGAGCAGTCATTGAGTCTGCGGGTAGCCCCGAGGAGGACAAGCCACCAGCACGGCCCAAAGGTGTCCAGGCCCAGGTTGAGCAGCCGCCCACGTATACGAAGATGATGGCGGCATTGTTAGATCAGGTAAATGAGACGCTGAATAAAAACAAGCCAGAGAACCGCTACGCCGCCATGGTCGAGGAGATAGGAAATCACTTGAAGAATGTGCAAGACCTTCAGAAGCAGCTCCTGGAAAAGCTAGCAGAGCTAGAAAAGGAGGAGAGCCGTAAAATCACAAGCGAGGGCATCCATACAGGGTTCGATAGTTCTTACGTTGCAAAGTCTACACCATCCACATCAGGGGAGAAGAAGGACGACAGCAAAATCGAGCTTTTGAACCCCAACTTCCTCGCAGGCAAGACTGAGGAATCAAAGGCGACTTCGGCCGCCGACGATGACGAAGATACCGAAATTGAGGCTTCTGCAGATGGTCGTAAGTTCGCAAATATCAAGGCAGCCGAGTATCGAGAAAGTCATGCGTTCCTTACGTCACATCCTAATATCTTGTCCGAGAAGGAGACCGACGGTATTCTCGTCATGGCCTTCGACGCACAACTCGAGAATAAGGATGATGTTGCACGAAACTACATACATCAAGCATTGCTACTCCAGTACTGCCGTAACTTAGGCAAGGATGGTGTCGCGCTCTTTTTTAAGCGTATTACTACGAAAGGCCACCAAGCCCAGGATGTGTTTTATAAGGATGTCCAAGACACGTACTTCCGCATCAAAACCCGGACGACAGAGATCAACGCACAACGGGCTACTGAGGGTGGTGATGTAGAACAGATCCAACTTCATGCCGTTGAGCCAGGAACCGAGATTAAGATCCAGATCCCTCCTGAAAATAGTGAGGAGGAAGCCGAAAAGCACGGACGCGCAATCTTCGAGGGCTTTGCGCCGGATATGCGCAAGGCGTTAGAATCGGGCAGCTTGGACAAGGTCAATGAGGTTCTTGGTAACATGAAGGTTCCTGAGGCCGAGGAGATTGTTGGCTTGTTGAGTGAGGTAAGAAGACGTGTCATATAATACGACGTCATCATTCTGTGTGCGTATTTGCTAACTGTCTTGCAGGCTGGTATACTTAGCTTGGAGGAGCAAATAATAGATGCCACAACCGAAGAAGGCAAGCAGAAGATCAAGGAGATGGAGGAAAAGGCTGCGATGGAGTCGCCTATAGGCGATCCCGAGTGAAAATAGTTCAAACCGTGTTGAGAGATTCGTCTTTGTACTAATTACTTGGTCTTGGTAAGGCTGAATGAAAGAGTTTGTGGTAACGAATACCCCGAGATATGACTTCAGCTCTAATTTTCCGAGTGATAGGATCGTTTATAGTGAGGCGCAACTATGGTACCAGCGTCCCATAACCTTCCCAAGGCAGACAACATCTCGGCATAGTGGCTCATTCGTGCCACGAGCTGATCGACACCTCATGGTCTTATGTCTTCTGTGGAAACAGTGTTACGTTCAGCTCACGTGAAGATACGGATCGACGCTTTGGTCGTTCTACGACCAAAAATAGGAGCGTCTGATACAAGCCAATCGATTGTCATTATCGACATTCTCCTAAGGGGCTGTGTGTGGCTACATCCTGGTGTATAACTGTAAGGGGGGGAGGTTCTGTGGAGGGATCTTGATAGTGTCTGTCGTAGGTTGTCTTTAGTGGAGCTTTCTCGTATTTCCTTCAAGGTAACTTTTGGAATTCCGCTTATGCGAAGAAGATTCTATCTAACGTCAAGCCTTGGTAGGGCAGGCTAAGTAAGTATAGTATGTAAGTAATTACAGGCCGCCATGAGATACGGTATAGCTTACTGTGTACTTAATAAGCGCAGGAGGGTTACTTTATCTATAGAGATTTCTGACATACTTTTACGACAGTGATCGCCATGAGTAAGTAGACTGTTATGAAATATAAGTATGTAGTAAGGTATGCAGGGTTCGTGACAGTTTCGTCCGTACTTTATGTTCGTGTAAGTACTGTAGAGAGTATCAGACGTTTTTCATATTGGAGAAACTAGGTAGTGTACGGCTCCTTGATGGGTAGGTAGGTATATGGGACGATACCTGCTTGAAACAGCCGGGCAACGGAACGCGCGTTTTTACGTGGTTTCATTGTCTCCCGCGCTGACGTGGAGAGGCGCAGTCGTCAGCTAGGTCTAAGACAGGCCTGAGTCTAAATGTGCCCCACACGATACGCAGCCACCAGCCACGGCTGTCCAGCTCGGTCTGCTTGGTAACCTATCGAGAGTCGAGCCCTGCGGCTGTTCGCCACCTGTTCTGGGCTGCATCAACCACGCTACTTAGGTAAGTAATACACTATGCGTCCACTAACCAGACCCTGTCGATCAACATCTGCCGGGGTCTGGGACCTTGGGGGTTTTGGCTGGGGGCATTCATTACGTACCTATCTGCAAGCCGTGCAGCGGCTGGACGTGTCGCTGACTTTGACTTCTTTCATCTCTGCTTCAATCAAACTGCTTTGACATTCTCTTAAGGACGCATAGTTCAATTGTCTTTCCCACTCCTCTCGTTTAGTCGTTTCATTGCATCCTTCTCATTCCGCCGCAATAAGCACACCCAGATAATTGATTGTACTAACATTAGTCGCTTGTTTATTTATATTTCCTCAGTCAACATGATACCCTCATTATACACGTATATGGCAGCGGTGGCGGCTCTGGCGAGCCCGGCCTACTCATCACCACAAGTCAGCAATGCCGCCTCCACGATAACGACGGCAACATCCGTCGCTACCGCTGAAGCCGCGTCGAGCTCAGGTTCATCAAGTGTAGCATGCAATAATTCGCCAGACCTTTGCAGCCGCTCGTATGGTAACATCACTCACATGGGCGCCCATGATTCGTCCTTCCTCCGTGACGCTAGCACCCAGAACTCGGTAGCCGGCAATCAGTACTACAACGCAACCGTCGCGTTAGACGCCGGTCTACGACTGCTGCAGGTGCAAGTTCATGATCTCAACGGGACAATTGAAATGTGCCACACCACATGTGCCTTGCTCGACGCGGGTCCCCTGCAGGATTGGCTCGTGGACATCAAATACTGGATGGATAATAATCCGAACGAAGTGGTGACGCTCCTGGTTGTCAACTCAGATGGTAACAGTGCCGCGGAATTCGGGTCTATATTCGAGTCATCGGGCATCTCAAAGTACGGATACACGCCATCAGGCAATGGGTGGCCGACCTTGCAGACCATGATCACCGCCAACACCCGCCTCGTGACATTCATCGCATCCATCACCACCAGCAGCACCTACCCCTATTTACTCACCGAGTTCGAGCACGTCTTCGAGACTGCATTTGAAGTCACATCTCTGTCGGGCTTCAATTGCTCAATAGACCGGCCCAAGACGCAATCATCGGCAGCTTCTGCGCTCTCGGCAGGACTTCTCCCACTCATGAACCACTTTGCAGACACAGATCTGGGCTCCTCCATTACCATCCCGGACGTCGACGATATCGCAACGACGAACAGCCCGTCCACGACGACTACCGGGGCCCTGGGTTTGCATGCTCAAACGTGCCGCTCCCAGTGGGGGTATCAGCCTACTTTTATCCTGGTAGATTTCTTTAACGAGGGCCCTTCCATCGACACTGCGGATGCCATGAACGGTATCACCAACGCCGTTGGCCGCAAGAACAGCAGCACGTCTACTACCGAAACCGCAGAGAACGAGGCGAAACGCGGGCGTGGCGCCACCGGTATGGGCGCGTTGGTGGCATTTTTCGCAGCAACATTAATACTTGCGTAGACTGGGCCAGCAACTCGTCGTATGGCCCCGTTTAGAGGCGGAACATATGATTTTGAATCTTTCTAGGATGAATGGAAAGCGGAAACAAGATGATCATTTTGATTAGTATTGTTGGGTTTGGGGTGCATAGCGACGGCGTTTTTTATTTGTAGTC